CTTTGTAGTACATGCTGCGCTTCCTGGGCTCTCTTGGTTCTGACAAAAAAAAAAAGTTACCAAATGTCATCAAACTACGTCAAATGTTAAAGCCAAACTGATGCAGAAAGTCCAATAAATTGGCTATAAAAAAAAACATTACAGATTTTTCTGTGCAGTGCAAACAAATAAAAACTTGACCAGCACAGGCTAATAGGCCAAGAAAATGTAAACCCATCCTTTAAAATTCAAGTATTTTCTAGTAACACAGTTCACATTTCAACAATATCAACCAATAAGGTCACCAATAGTTTTGAACAGAAGCAGTACCATCCTGTGGGGCCTGGTAGCGAACCACGGTCTTTCGCTGTCTGAAGTCATAGCGCCTCTGGTTATCCTCTTCCTCATCCTCGCCATCTTCATCATCATCATCATCCTCATCATCTTCTTCCTCCTCCTCATCATCATCATCATCATCAACATCAACTTCTCTATCTTCTCCCTCCTCTTCGTCATGATCATCCTCATCCCCTCCTGTGAATTAGAAAAATTACAATAAACTACTGCTGCTGTCTGAATAATCTACACACAAGATTTAAGATTTTATTTAACTTTTTATAAAACATTTTCACATCCACAGAATAAATATACATACACTGGTGGATTGGATGTGGGGTGAGGGTTGCAGTTCAAGTCGGTGTTGAGTATTCTATCCAATGACTGTATGACTTTTAAGTGCTATGTTGTAAGTCTAATTGGTTCATGGATGTGTGATGCATTTGTTGTATTCTTTAATCAGAAATCAGAATCAGAAATACTTTATTTATCCCAGGAGGAAATAATTTAATGCATTACATTACACCTTTACTTCTGTTTCTATATATGTTTATGTATTTTGTTTTAATGTATGCTCTCAATGTGAAGCACATTGAGTTTAAAAAAATGAATTGTGCTTTATAAATAAAATTGCCATTGCCACTGAAAAACCCATACAACTGGACTCAGACCTGTATGCTTTGTATTCCCCAGCTATGCACCTGAAGTGGTTACTAAACCTAATACAGCTCACCTTGATTCTCCTCCTCTGTGTCTTTACTCTCCACATTCGTCCTTAGAGACCTTCGCATCTGGCCCCGAGTGTAAACGCCAAGCTGGATGTAGAAAATGATAATTACTTCACTGCTTTCATTTTTTTTGCCTTGTCAAAATGTGTGGGTTTCCTGGTTTTCACCTCATCTTTAGTGTCTCTATCTCTGCTCCTCAGTCTCCGTCTCATCTTCTTCATGTCGTCCATCTTCTGCAGGACAGCTTCGGCAGTGCTGAGGTTAAATCATAGAAAAAGCTCATAAAATTGTATCAAAGTCATTAGGTTGCAAGCGCAACAATCAAGCAAATTCAACCAAAAAAAACCTAACATGCCCCACAATTCTTTTGGAGAAGCTGCTGTAAAATCCAACATTTAAAAATAATGAAATGTCTCTGAACTCACTTGGTGATGAGGCGATCGTAGAGCACTGACTGGTTGCGAGAATCCAGTTTGTATCTAGTAATTCGGGAGCTACGTCGTACTGAGCGATCCTCCTCCTCTTCCTCCTCCACTTCTCTGCTCTGTAGGTTAAAGCGGCTCCTCTTGGGGGTGGACGACCCCTCTACCTCATCTGGAACATCTTATGGACAAACAAAAGCACCAACCAGTTAGTATAGTGTACACTTTTGAACACTTATTTCTTACTATGGAATCCAAGTACTCTGAAGATGAACACAGTAGAGAACCGCACCTGCTTGCTGCTTACCGCTGGATGCATTTCCTTCTCTCTGAAGCCTGGAAGATTTTCTGAAGATGGAGAGAACAAATGAAATCATTAATTTTATTATTAAATGAGCACAACTTTCTCCAAAAAGATTCATTAACCAGTTATCATAGGGAAAACAAACAAAACTATTCTTCAGATAATTAAATAAATAATTAATAATCTCAAGATAATGGCATGAAAGATATAATTGAGATTAAAGTTGTTCAGCTTGATATTCATGTCTCTGTACATCTGAAGAGGGAAGTTGGCTATGTAGTGACACTAATAATTAAATGGTGGTCGATGTGAGAGGCACTCTATTACCTGGTGCTGTAGTTTTCTTCATTCACAGGGGAGCTGGTCTTTGGCTCCATGTCAGCATAGGAGACCTCTTGCTTCATTCTCTGTCCTCTGGTCCTTGGAGAGAGACCACTTCCCTCATCCTGTTTCATATCAGTGTGTCCCTGGAACAGCCACATTACAGGATTATCACAGGACATGTGTAGGTAGTGTACTTCTTAAGAAAAAAAGTTAGTAGCAAGTGTATCAGACACACATTTATAAATAAGTTGGAACTATGACCCTCTAATTGCCAGAGAAAGCTGAAGCAAACTGTTTGTGTTACAATACAAGTTACACAGCAGTAAGATGTGTAACAGGGTCCATATAAAGTGGTAGAAACGAATATTACAGTTATACAAAAACTGTTTAAAAAGTTATAATCTGACATAGGCCTCCATAGTCAATATGAGGAACGATTGAGAAACTTTATGTATCCCTACGTCCAATTTTGGGGGACCCCTCCTTATAAGGGTGTCTCCTGATTCATCTCTGCTCTTTTTTGCTCTTATGTTCCAGCTACTGCTACTACTACTACTAATACTGCTGCTGCTACTACTACCACTACTACTGCTGCTAATACTACTACTACTACAACTACTACTACTACTGCTGCTACAGCTACT